GCCTCTTTCAAGCATCTCCATAGTTACCTCTCTATCAGTCTGCAGAGTCATAGCTGCCTGTGTGTAACCATCTCACAAGTAGCTCTCGCTGTCTGGAGTAACCTTCCTCCATCTACTTCCTCTGATCGACTTAATCTGAAAAGATACGGCTTCTCCTCTGCCCCTTCCTTCCTTTCTTCTGCTGTTAGTGGCTCTGTGATTGAACGCTTTAGCTCATCCACCAGGCAATGTGTCCACTTTTGTGCTTCACCTAATTTATACCATCTACTCTTTGATAGCCTGCGTTACAGTTTTCAGGTCTATATTACAGTTTTATGTGAGAGCGGCTCTACAAAATTATTTTCTCCTGGGTAGTCCTTTCCTTACCTAAATCTGGGTGTTTGGTTCGTGCCTGGAAATGTATAGCCTATGGAATGAGAAGTCTATTTCAGGGCCTTTGCAGTACATTGCTTGTTCTCATAGAACCAAAGGCCACCAGATAATAAATGAAATGAATTGAACAGATTGAGAAGCTGTAGTCCTCAAAAGCATATTTACTGCAGACCTGAAACCAAGCACTGTGATTACTGAAGTTTTATATTCATAGACGACAGTTTCTGTTTAGCCCCTGTGAAATGCACCACTAAACCCATGCTAATCCCTCTGAGATTATCAGCCATTTCAGTATCTTGGCTCATTTAGCAAATCTAACCATTAAGTGATAAATGCACTTTAAACAGGGTTTTTTAACAGCATCTGAGCATTTACATTTCTCCCTGCTCTGTTGTGCAAATGTGAGGAGGCATTCCTCATTTTCTAAGAGGCCCCTTTTTGACACTTATTTTCCCGCAAACTGCGAAGATCTAGAACAACTCGGCTAAATTTTAGCCCTAAGGGGGCTGGTCTAGAGACCAGTTTGCTTTAGGCTGTTGCTGCTATTTCCAAACATTTCAGCTGCCACTCTACTTCCATGTGCCTTCTGAGGCTGTTCAAAACTGCTTTAAATATGCTTTTGAGGACTTAGCATCTTCATCTGCATGTATGTTCATGTGGGCAGGGAGTTGGGGCTAACAACCACGTAGGCTTAACCTGTAATGCTGTATTGTGCCCTTGCTACAGTATTTTTCTTCTGTCTTCTCATTTTTTCTTAGCAAAAACCTGCCAGTGTGCATTGCTGTTTGTCAGTCATTGGCACGCCTAAGCAAACTCACATTTCTGAGAGCTCCTGTGCAGTTTATTGCCAGCTCCTGTTTCCCCACGGAATGGGCCATTGGAGCTGATGGGGTTGTACTGCTGTAATTAGTTGGACTGCATTGGAGCAGTTTGGGGAGATATGGAAAGGATCTCTAGTTGTCTTTTCTGAAGCATTGTTCCAGGAACAAAACACCCAACAGCACAAACTCACTTTGCTGCACTTAGAACAATCTTTCCACCTGAGGGACCCGAGTTGGTTATTTTAAAGCTGGACAAAGACAAGTGTCATTGGACCTGGGAGACTAAGGCAGGATTTTTGACCAGTCTCCGAGTCAGGATGTCTTACACCATACCTGTAAACCTTGTGAGAGCAATCTGAACTTCTGGGATCTTTGCTGCATGAAGCTCAAAGGCCACATCTATTCTTTTTACTGCCGTGTTACCTGACAGTCTTTCAGCCATGCATTCTCTGCTGCCCTGCTCTGGTGGGAATAATGTTGAGGCTTGTGGCTGTATTCATACAGTCTTCAACTTCTAAATAATGAACTGTTTTCCTTTTTCTACTGCTGCTAAAGGAGCAGCATTTCAGTAGCTGTTAGTAGCTGCTTCTGCTTTCTCTTTCTAGGGTTGAAAAGTGGGAGGTTTAGTCCTCAAACTAGCACGTGATACCTGTTGTCTTCACATTCCATCCATGCTGCAAACCGAACGCAGCAAGAGAGAGACTCCAGCATTATCTGAATTGCAAAGTCATTCTATTGTCAAGCCTTTTAAGTGTCAAATTCCTTTCTAAAACCAAAGGCTGTGACATTTGCTAAAGAACAGCATTGTTTCAAAGTCAGGAGGGTCTATTCTTAGCGCATCAGTCAAAAAGAAAAAAAAAAAGTCATGGGGGGAAAAAAAACCCAACACAATTTTACCAAAATGAACCTTGTCAGAAATGATCAATTTATCTTCCATTCAGATTGACCTGGTCCTTGCTGCATGCCAGAGGACAAAATTTGATGACACAGCACAATAAATTAAGATTGCCAGATCTCCTTGTAATTAATTCTCTTGCAGTGCAGTTTGGCAAAGAGGAGTTTATCTTCAAGGTGATATAATCACTGGTAGTTTGGTTTTGTTGTGGTTTGTTTGTTTGTTTTTTTTTTTCTTTTTAAGGAACATTTCTCCTCAGTTAGTTGAAGGATAGATGCTGGTGAGTAACAGCCACCTCCTGATATTTTATTCATGCTATTTAAATACCTCTTCCTGCTAGACCAGTGCTGCCTCAACAGTTAAGAGACAAAGTTAAGACTGAGCACATCATAACCCAGACAGACACCGGGGCTGTGCTGTGTTTTTCCTGTTTTCTGGAGTGCAGCCCCTCAGACACTCCCACTGTGCTGGAGAGCCCAGGTTTACTCCTACCCCAGCCTTCAAATCTGTGAATGTTGCATCCAGCCAATTTGATGCTCATACAGTACTTCTGTCTTTATTTCTCATTAGAAAACCTCAGTTTGAGTTCATATAAAATAAATAAATATGGTCTATAGCCTAATCTTGAAAACCTACTTGTACATTATAAAGGTTATGATTGTTGAACTAAATAGAACTTCTTCTAAAGCATTTATACTAATACATACACTGCAAAGTATTTATTCTTCAATTAAAAGAGAAAATGTATTTAGCACACTGGAAACTTAGGACAGGTGTCTCATTTCTTCAAAGCTGTGTCCTCTAAATTCTGCTTATGGGAAGCTTGTACTGGTGGGCTGTTTGTATTCAAGGACTGAAAGAGTGCAAAGAGCTCCTTCCAACCTCCTTGAAAAAGCCACGCAAATGTCTTTGTAGCTTTAATTAGATGGGGACAGAGTTTTAACTATTACTAAAACTTTCCTATTTCTGAAGAAGGGGTTGAACTCCCTGGAGGATGCTGCTGGATCAAGTACGCTATATCAAAGCCGATTCTTAACGTCTCTGTGCGCATCCTGACCATCTCCAGAGAGACTGTCATTAATGTGCTTCTGTCGCTTTCGTTCTCTTTAGTATTCATGCAGCAATGATCATGTGAAAATTACTCACACTTCTGACTTGAGAAAACTTTCTTAGCCCAGAAATTCATCCAATAACAAGGGAATTAGAAATTCAAATGGGGGGAAATTATACACTGTGTGTGTCAATAACAGCAAACCTTATAAAAGCTGCAATCAATCATATCGGCACTGAAGGTGGTGGTACATTTCCTTGTCACCAAGTGGATCATGGTCCAAGAAATAAAGGAAAAGGTGAATCAGAACAAGAAACTTCGGTTTGCTGCGTGGAGAGAAGGACAGCCCCATCCAAAAGCACAGACCTGGAGTCAGTTCTGGAGCTTCTTTGTGTTGTGATCCATGGTTATGCAGAAATCTTGTTTGGTTATTTGTTTTGCCTGTTTACCTGCTGCCTAGCTATACTGTGAAGCAGGTTCTGTCTCTGTGCTTATGTGCCATTTCAGTAGAACAAGTGCTTTCTCGCAAAGTCTTCAATCACGTAAATGGGCCATTGCACCCTGTCCCCTCAGCGAACCTCTAGGAGAGTACTCCAGCCCTTCCTGTGCGTTGACGCCTGGCATGTTCTGTCGCAAGCTAAATCCAGATATCTTGTGCCTGGGTGCAGCCTCGCATTTGGCAGCTGACTCTGCAAAGCATTTGAATTCATTAAATACATGTAATGATCCATACTGGTTTCCCACTGTCCGGCTGCTGCTTGAACAGTATGTCTTACAGAGTGGACTTCCATTATGGTATCCTTAGATTTTTTTTAAAAGCTATATTATGTTGTATGACTAATCAGATAAACAGCTCTCCCTCAAAAACACCTCCCAAAACGATGGCGGTCTGATGTTTCACATGTACAACGCCAAACCTAATGCAGGTATGTGTAAAACCCAGCAGTGACTTACAGAGACTGCAACTCGTTCCTGCATGATTCTGCCTCTCTGCTACTCTCCTTATGTGTTTTGACTGCCAAATATTCTGGTTTTGTAGGTCTTGTATCTCAGCGCTCTGCTGTCAGCTCCCTGAGATGCAAGAAGTAGGCACGGCCCAGATGCTTGCCTGAAGCAGAAATAGTACATCGTTCTACTACTATTCTCCATCAGGTTCCCTGAGTCTTGAATTTCTGGCAGACAGCATTCCATAGGGAGGAGAAAAACCCAGCCCTTTAGTTTGCAAGTTGTTGTAAAAACCTGATTCTGGTTTTGGTGTAATTTAGCAGACTGAAATAGAAATGCAACAAATCTGTTATACTTTCTTAGTGAATCAGTAAGCTTATACTGGTAAAAACTGTTCAGACTTTGGAATATTCAGTAATTCCCTCACGTTTCCAGGGGCTTTTGTGTATTCCCAGTGCTCTGTGTATGTTACAGTCTGCAGCTATGAGGAGGTATGTACTGATAAGTATATGTTTCTGGATGGGTGTTTTCAAAACTCCAGCAAGACAACAGGCACCAAGCAGCCAGAAAGGTAAACAGCTCCTGTTAATGACTTAGGGGTTTTTGCGTATATGTGTATATTTATTTCGGACTGGTATGTAGCAAAGGGAGCAATAAAAGCCTGCTTGCTTCTGGTCTTTTAAGATCTGCCAGGACACAGTGCGTGCAATGAAGCAGCCCGTGGCTGGAGGGGGTGGGTAGCTGTAAGTGCGTGAGGGTGAGCCAGCGCGGGTGGAGGTGGATGGAGAGGTGTGTGCCGGCTGCCACGCTCAGAATTGTCACCGGTGTCTCGTGACCCCCGTGGTGACGAGCAGGGGCTGAGATTTCCTGGCAGCTGCTGAGCTTTCGGAGGCGGCGGCCGCGCGGGACGGCTTACCTTCTGCGCTCTCCGCTTGTCGGCTCTCTGGTTCTGGTGGTAAATTCGGCTGAAGTTGGACACAATGACTGGAACCGGCAGAGCAATGACCAGCACCCCGCTCAGGGAGCAAATGGAGCCAAATATCTTCCCAGCAATTGTCTTGGGTACCATGTCACCATAACTAGAGGGGGGGAAAAAAAAGGGAAACCCCTTCTTCAGAAAAGTGCAACAGCACCAAAAGCCTTTTCAGGTTCCCTGAGCGTGCAGCAACGTGAGCGCCCAGGTCAGACACTAAAGCTTAGAAATCCACTGTGCAAGCAACAGTTCACGTGGTGCTGTCATCCTGCAGATGACCGTTTACACCATGCTTTGGCAGTGAATTAAGCTAAATCAAAGAGAGGCCCTTTTATTGCAGAATAGATGTGCTAGTTCAGGCAGCTGCTGAATATGTTAAATTCACATCCTTGCTCATTTATTACCTACCTCTCCATGTAGATGAGCTCTAACGAACTGAAAACTGTACGTCTGCTTGTGAGCAGGTTCATATATTTTCATTCCCTTGTACTGATTTACACTTCTATTTCAAAACCCAGCGGTTTCCTTGCCATCTGTACAGTCAGAAATTTGGGGTTCATTCAAAGTCTGGATTCAGTAAAGGGTGAATTCTCAGGAATATGAGAGCAGCTGAAAAATATTCAGACAAATCTCTGCACTGGGTTTGACCCAGCAGTCTTCATTAATGATTGTTATTTTTATGTTAATAATACCAGCAGAATCCAAGATGGAATAATCCATTCTGCGCAGATGGAAGATGATGCTGGTTTAGGTTCTGTGGATTCCGCACGACAGAAATCACTACTCTGTTGAGTGCTGATTTGATGTTTGTGTTTTTACTTTGCATATTGGAAGAGCTTTCTGCAGCAGTTTTATACATAAGCTTAAGCTTTAATACTGTCCTTCTGTAAAGAAAACCAGCATGCTTTGCCTTATGGCTACTCGCTAGTGCCGTAAGAAGGAGCATGGCTGTTATTCCCGCATGGAACATACGGTACTGAAACTGCTCTGGGACTCAGGCATACGATTGACTGCGCTGGCTCACTGAATGCTGCATTATAGCGAAGGTAATGGGGGTTTTGAATTCTGATTTGCAGTTTGGCCTGATGTGATCCCAGTGTTGCATCCCAGGTGATAGGACCTCTTAATTCTAATTGCACCATCACTCACGATTCCCCCGTCTCACAGCACAACTTCTGATACCCAGCGGGCACCAGATGTTGGCAATGCAAATGTTGTGCCTTGTGTTCAGCAGATGTGGTGGTAACCTCCATAGGAGGCTCTTCCTCCCCTGCAGTTTGCCCTCTAGAAGTGACTTCAACGCATCCTTCTGCAAATGGTTGATAGGCAAATAAAAAACCATCCAGAAAACAGGATGTGGATTGCAGTATGTTCTGATCTTGTACAAAAAGCTTGTTTGTAGCTAATGCCCCTAGAGTATGATAGGAACATGATTAGCACAGCCACTGACTGAATTTACAGGCCTTGTTTCAGTGAGCCATTTATTATATGCTTGCATGCAAATGTGTATTAATATCAATATTCGTTGGAGTAATTTTCATCTGGAGGAAAGGGAAAAGCAAGCAGACAAATAACAACAGACTTTAAAAAAAAATCTCTGATACTGAAATGACTGTGTACAAACCACTGGGCTCAGGAATTCCCAAAGTACCTCTGTGACTCAGGAGGACACACTGTACTCTGTGAAAGCAGGTTTATGTGACCTGGCTACACCTTGGAGTAGAAGAGAGGTCCTAGGCACTGCAACCTGCTGAAGTTTTGCAGTAGGCAGGGAAAAGGATGCTGAAATTAAAATCTGTGCCGAAGGAAGACATCCCTTGTTTCAGGGTGCTTGAAATCTGGAGAGGCCCCTAGTTGTTACCAGCTGGAGTTTGGGATTTCCTTGTTCTGCTTCAGCATGTTCTGGTGTTTGATGCAGCAAATATTGAAAAGCAAAATGATTTACAGTTGAGGCTTTATTTTTACCTTTGATGTCTGCTTATGACCAACAAAGAGCTTTTATGGGAATAGAGTTGTGCTACAAATAATTTATGTCCAAGGGGAAAACCAAGTATTTCAAAACATCTTTTTTTATCAGCTGAACTTCTTTCCCCCATCCAAGAACTCATTGGTATGAGGGTCTCTGAATAAAAAAAGAACTCATTACACATTAACTGCTTGCTCCTGGGAGTCTCTCACATGTTCTCCTTCTAGGCTCAGTGACTAGACAGTGTGGCCAAGCAGCTGGGTAAAAGATTATCATCGCTGGGCTATCACACATGCTTGTGTCCAAGGAAAGGCTTAGTTTCAGGCTAAGTGACAGCTTTTCTTTGGCATTTTCAGTTGGGTGTTTGGGGTTTTTTTTTTTGTGTAAATGTTTCAGGCTTCACTAGCTAAGGCTTAATTATCCCAACCAGAATCCTTTTCCTGCCTTCACCTGCATTAAAATCCCTCAGAATACCTCAAATCAATAAAATGCTATTTTATGTCTATTAAATTTTTAGCTGCTGCTTTATGCAAAGATAGTTTAAAAGCTCTTGCTAAGTGACAAGGTCTTCTGCCTGATTTAACACTGTGCTAAAAAAAAATTAAAATCTTTCTTACTTTTCCGCTGCCACCCTTTAACACAATAAAGCTGCAAATTAATCATATGCCTCAAACATGGTCTCAGTGACCTAGAGCACTGAGAGAAAGCCCTTCTGTGCGTTTGTAGAAAGTATAAGTGTCTGGCTCACAGTCTGTCTTGTAGAGTTTTGTTCTTACACGTAGACTGAGAGTTACCTCATTACTTGGGACTTCAGAGAAGGTGGTTTAACAAACCATCAGGAAACATCAAACTGTCCTGGAGCGTGGAGGATTTTGCTGGGGAGATGTAGAACTTCATTTGCAAAACTATTACGAGAGGTACTGCGATGAGAAATTTTGCAGTAGCGGGAGCATGCTGCACAGGAACAAGACCTAAAACTTGTAACACTGACTTCTGGATCCACCACAACCATCTGCTGTTGGGTTCGTCCCTCCGGGTGCGCATGGCATGTCATGCGCTTGCAGCCACGCGCTCTGGCTTTACTGGCCTGGCCTGTAATGTGGGTGATACTGATGTTTGGAAATGTCGTAGCTTTTTTATCAGAAGAAAACTCAGCTATGCTTCAGCAGTGCTTGATCTAGATCCCTTTGCACTTAATGAGAGGCCTCCCTTTGAGTATGATGCGTTTCGGAACGCATCTATAATAAAGTTGTAATTGTCCTACTCCTATATTGACATATGCAGCTACTGCAATGTTAGTTGCTGGAGTGACTCTTTTTGTCCTGATGGTACCACGAAGTACTAATGGCCACATGCCATATTTATAACAGATACAGTGCCAAATAATCTCAAAATCCTAAATACTGGATTTCAGTTAGTACTTATTGGGCATTTTAAACCCCAAACTTCTTTTCCCCAGGTTGAAATGAGAAAACTCAACTTTCCCATTAATTTGTTTGGTAAAAGATAACTTGTCACCTAAAAAATTTCTTCTACAGAAAGGTCATTTTAAGTAATTCATCAATAATCTCATTAGAGCAGCAAGAGGATAGATGAGTTAGGTAATGATTACTATTCAGAGGGTCTAACGGGATGTTTGAGCCTGTAATAAAACAAGGGGAGGCTGCAAATTCAGTAGACTTTTAATGTGACTTTTAGTAAATAATTTTGGCTTTCTGTACCTCAGTTCCCTATTTGTGAAACGACAATTGGTTACTTATTCTTTGTCTGCTTGGTGCAGTAGGTGCTAGGTTCTTCAGAGCAGGAGACCAAGGAAACACTGGGGACACTGAGACTCCTACCCACTGTGCAAATAACGTAAGGTTCAGGTGAAGCCTTAAACAGACAAACTAGGAAAAAAAAAACAAAATAAGAAATTACTTTTACGTGGTCGCTCTTCAGACTGGAAAAGACTGTGAATGCAGAATTTCACTTTTTTTTTTTTTTTTTTTTTTAATTTGTACTGGGACTTCTGTGTTCTTTGGATATAAAAGGGGTCATATGTCACTCACCCTAATTAGCAGCTATTAGCCTTAACAGCATAATGCACCGCTGTTTTTCTCTCTGTCAGTACAGAAAATGTTATCAAATAGAGGTCACTGCTTCCGAGTTCTGGTTTTAGCAGTAGAGGTGTCTGGACTGTGCTTAGCTCCCCAGCTGGAGACAGCAATAAATAAGGTGCTGAACAGCTCATCAAATGACTCTGAAAATAGACTTTGGCAGCGTCTCTGATGATCCTATCTCTCTGTGCAACATTCACAGCCCTACAAATAGGGAATTGTAGCAAAAAGCTGGAAGATCCTATGGTATAGGACATCGGAAGGCGCTACGGGAGTGCCGACTCCGAGGGGACGGGGAAGCAGCTTGGGGGGGCCTCCCCGTCCCCCCCACCCTGCCTGTGTGCCAGCTTCGCAGCCGGTACCGGGCGTGCGCCTGGGGAGGGGCGTACGGGTCATCAATTACCCGTGTCGCGTAGCTTGTGTCGGCCTTGGTTCCTCTAGATGCGGAGGAGGTAAGAGTGCGATTGAAAATTGATAAACCTGTACCCTGACACCTTCCTTCCCACCAGTAAAAGACCCGGCTTCGGACAGA